GGACATATGTCCCCGGGCGCCGACCTTAGTTTGAGGGGGGGGGGGGTGCAAATGAAAAGTTCGAGGGGGGGGGGGGGTGCAAATCGGGAGTTTGAAAGGGGGGGGGGGTGTAAATGAAAAGTTCGAGGGGGGTGCAAATCGAAAGTTTGAGTGGGGGAAGGGTCGCTACGCCTCTGTTTCCCACCGGGTTCTAGAAATCTATACCAGTTTACCATTATCTTCCACCTCCCTCTCTCCCCTCCCTCATGGGATTACTAGCATGGAGATAATTCACTAATAATTGATCGGCTGAGTGGTATCAAATAAAACGATGGGTAAAAAAAAAATCAATGTCCCATTCAATTCCAATCGCTTTTGATGATAACATAAAAAAGAAAATAAAAAATAACACACATTCCTGATGCAGTTCATTTGGCGTTGCAAACTAAACACATTAATGTTTTTTTTAATGTATGATTCAGTGAAAACTTTCGGGAAAAATCTGTGGTTAACTCCACACTATAGTAAGGTTTTTTTCAAAGGGAGGTAATACAATACAGACTCGATTACCGGCCCTTAACTAGTGTTGGTCGGTGCAGGGCGGTAATTCATTGTGCAAATAATGTGGGACAATTATCAAAATTACGTGCACGGTGCACGTCATGGTGCGTATTGGATACGGATAGGGTGCACTTGTTTTCCTAACGAGACCGACTAGGCTTGTGTTCGTGAGGAGGGGGTGACGGGGAAAATTATTGTACGTCACTCAACAGAATTTAGGTGGTGGTTCTTTTTTTTCCTTTTCTGAATTGTTTCCCTTTGTTTTGGAGATGGATTTAAAAAATTTAAATTACAATAATTATAGGGAAAGAAGATGGGACCTAATGGAATGTCATGACGTCACGCTATTTTGTGAACACATTTTTTTAAAAAAGGTTTCAAAGGGACAAGTCTAAAGTTTTGAACATTTTATAGTTTGTAATTAAACATCTAAAATTATATAGCCTGAATGTTTGCAATGTTAACTCATGTAAACAATAATGCGTTTTGCTAAGTTGTATGTTGAAGGGACATAATTCAAGTGCTCTATGATAACGGAGTGAAGCAGTCATCTCCCTGTTAAACTAACTTTTAGTAAAAACAAAACAACTTTATGTGTGTGTGCGTGTATGTTTGAGAGAGAGAGAGAGAGAGAGAGAGAGAGAGAGAGAGAGAGAGAGCTGTACACTGCTGTATTATGCAAAGGTTTGTGACGCTGCCACATATATAAACAAAAATACATAACAAAAATATATAATCTGCCCTCGAAGGCAGAACTCCGTGCCCTAGCGAAGTAGCTGCCGTAAAAAAAAGGTGAGTGGACTCGTGCAACATTTAACTTGTTTACAGTTACCTCCCTTTTCTCATCTGTTATGACATTTCCACGGCAAATTTGCCCCTATAACTCTAGAATACGTAAAATTTAGAGAAAAATAAATAAAATCAAACCAAAATAATTTTTTTCTCAATTTTCCTGAGTTTAATATGTAAATTAAAATTATATACATATTTTATACATACAAATGTATTGCGGAGCTAATTAAACAAATGCAATATTTAATTAATAATTTTTAAGAAAGATGTTCTCGTTATACAAGCAGAGGCGTAGCGACCCTTCCCGGCGCCCGGGGCGAACTTTCAATTTGGCGCCCCCCCCCCCCGCTTATATATATATATATATATATATATATATATATATATATATATATATATATATATATATATATATATATATATATATATGTGTGTGTGTGTGTGTGTGTGTGTGTGTATAATTATGTGTGTGATAGTGTGTTTATATATAAGCTTGTGTGTGGGTAAGAGTGTATTTGTGTGTGTAAGCGTGTGTGTAAGCGTGTATGCTACAGTCCGGACAAGGTTTAATAATTACATTGTATGATTTTCATTCCTTAAAACTTTACGACAATTTAATTCCCATTAAGATGCGTTTAACTTTTTTTGCGAAAGATTAGTAATGTCAGTAAAAAAAAATAAGCCTGATCTGTGTTAGAGGGTAGTTTGTAGCTAACGCTAATATGTTTAGACCAGCCTTTTATGTTCTAGTTTTGAACGATCTCTGTTGTGATATGGTACATAGTTGGATTCGAAGTTTGTTAGAGTAAGGACACACAAGTGACATACAAGAAGAAGTTATCAGAAATATTTATTGTTCACATTGGAATACGATATGGGTATTTCGTTGATTGGTTGATGGTATGACAAAACAAGCTAGAGAAAACAAACTGGAATCCAACGGATGTTAACAGCTCGTAGTCTTGGATTTCGCAGATTTGCCCTGCCTTCTCGCACACAGTTTCTTCCAGGCATCTTTTCGGGGGGGGGGGGGCGAAGCCCCCCGAAAAAAATTTTACGCCCCCCCGAACGAAATGAAATTTATATAATTTATATATAGAAAATATATACTTTTAACAGTGTCCGCCCCCCCCCCCCCCCGAAGAAAGTTTACCGCCTCCCCCCTCCCCCCGAAGATTTCAAGTGCCCCCCCGGAGAAAAAAGTCTGGAAGAAACACTGATCAAAAGTATCTGATCTCTCACGTTGAAGTTGAGAGAATCGTAAGAATCTTACAAAGAACTAGTCGTGTCTTTTTTTTTAACAAAACTGGCTATTGAAATTGTACATTACGCGTTAATACGCTTGGTTTCTTTACTAAGTGTTAAGAGAGTTATCTACTCACCAATCCAGTACAAATACTTGCGATTTTTGTTAGCGAAAAAAGCGCCCCCCCCCCCCCCCACCCCCACACACACTCATCACAACCATCTTGGATAAAGTTTGTAGAGCGGTTTTTAACGTAACTAACTTTTTTTTTAAAAAATGTTACACAATTATACAATGCACAGTACAATTCGTTTCTTTCTGAGAGCTAAAGGTTGTTTACTCAGAATCCTGTGTAATTTTTCTATTTTATTTAGCCTAAAAGCGCCCCCCCCCCCCCCCTGCACCATCTTGATAAGTCACTAACGTATTTTACAGTTCAACAATCGTACAATACGTTTTAATACAATTGGTTTCTTTTAATAGTGGTAACGTTTATCGACTCAACAATCTAGTGTAAATTCTTCCGTTTTAAGTCTCGAAAAAGCGCCCCCCCCCCATCTAGGAAAAGCTTCAAAGCGGTTTTGCCGGTCACTGTTTCTTAAGAGTATATGTTTTACATTAAGAAATCAAGATAGAAAACAGTTAAATCAGTATGTAAATGCGTGTAGCCATTACATTTCTTAACTTAGACAGTTTATAATTCAAAACTGCAGCATAAAATCAGCTTTAAAAAAATTTTCCCACCCCTTTTGGCGCCCCCATAGGGTCGGCGCCCGGGGCGGCCGCCCCCCCCGCCCCCCCCCCTAGCTACGCCTCTGTATACAAGAACTGTTACATAAAAAGATGTTTTTTTTTACTCAAAATGTATTATTGTTAAGTATTCTCACAAATTTGTTGGACGTAATCAAGTATCAATCATTCAAATGTATTAAACCCTTTCTGAAGACTACACTTTGCATATGTGGCTGTAAGAACCCATTACCACTTTTCAGGGTGTTCTAATTTCAAATACAGACAATACCACGATCTTGACTTTAAATAACGCAGCTGTAAATGAATACCCAGCATGAATTGAAAAGAGTTAATAGTATAATAAAAATTATTTTGTGAAAATAGCCCCTCAAAACTTAAATATGAATTTAACTACTAAAATTCTCGTTAAGGTTAAATTGGTTTTCATTCACAAATAAAACAATTAACTAAAATGTGGAAACAAAATAATGAAGATAATATACATCATATAAAACAAAAGCATGAAAAAAATCTGATTGGTAAAGAGAAAATGGATTTTAACTCAAGTTTTCTTCACAACTAGGTTTGATAAGTATGCTTCATTCTATGATAAAAATAGCTCAGCCCTTTGATTGGATAAAACAGATACAGTGTGTGAAGGGTAGGAATGTTGACATAAATTAACAGTGTAACCAACAAATTCTGGTCCAATTTAAAATATAAAGTGTTATAATTTTACACAACATTTTGTATTATTACAATAAAATAACTCTCTCAATCCTCAGTCTTTTGCATTTAAATCATTCAAATTTTAAAATATGTTATTTCTTAAAAAAAAACCAAATAGATACAATCTATGGGAAAAAACAACTAAATGCTGGTTTCTTTAATTAGAAAGAGTACATTAAACCCAACAGTTTTAATGGAATTAAAAACAAATAATTTACACAGAAACTCCAAACAGATAAATAAATAAAACAACTAAAAGATTTATGTCCTTTGAAATAGCTGTCTTAGTAAATTGCTAAAGCTATGTGTCTAAAGCTAGGTGTATATCAGGATGATTGTTACTGGTGTGATCTATTATTGAGGAATGTTAAAACATTTCAACCATCACACATATAATTGCTAACAACAAATAAACACACTGGAACATTGTAAAATGTTTCTGAATCTTACCAGTGATCCTGCTTATGTCTTCTATGTAATGTTGATAAACATTTAATTAATCCGTAATGTAATGACTTTAACACAAACCAGAGCCTACTATACATAAATCTATACCGTAAGTACTGGAGTTAACATAAAGCCTACCATACACTAATATATAACATAAGTATTTGTTACAGACATGACTATCTTCACAACTGTTGGCTCTGTAGACTAAAAATTACATTTACTCCAACATTTAAAATTAATCTTCATTTTAAAATATACTGTTTTATTTCAATTAAAAGTTTTGTACATTATATATGATATTTAAACAATATTAAAGAGTTTTAAAAATATTTGTGTATTCACTTATTAAAAGCAATTGATAAATGACTACACTTGTTATTGTTAAGTTAGAAGCTATTTCGTTAAGTATACCAAAAAGCTAAACAATAGTGTCATATATTAAAGTTGGGGGATTTATTCAATAAGTGTTAGATAGAGTATAAAGCACCCACATAATGTTAGTTATAATATGAGATTAATTTATACATAAAAAGATAATATCATTTTAAAACAAAATCTTGTAAAATCTTTTGTGTGGTAGAATGTAAAAACAGCATTTAGCAATCTACTAATCAAAAACGATTATTGATATTAAGAGGAATTCCTTAGTCTTCAGCAGTATAGTAAATACATCTTTAAGAAAGTCCTAAAAATATTTTTAATTTGCGTTTTTAATTGTTACCTGAATAAGGCAAGGTAAGTACTATGATAAACACATCACAACTGAAGAAATTGCTAATTGTTTATATTGCACTTGATTAGGATTTGTAAAAATTTGTGGTTGATAAAGTTTCGAACCGACCAATGAGTTTATTAACTTAATTGGACATGTACTCCAATTGGAATACATTTCCTTTAATTGTATTGCTATTTATAAATTAAAATAAAACTTCAGCTTTGAGATGTCTAGCGAACTTAGCTTTGAAATGTAAGGGAAGTAACCGATTTTTTTCCTTCTTCATCTGTTTTGCCATGAGTTATTTCCCTTGAAAGTGAAATAATTTTCACAACACATTACACGGGAGATTCAAAGCCGGTCGAGGAAGGAGAAAGGCCACTAGTTACTGTGGTTTCAATAGTCGAGTTTTCTTCAAACACTTTTTTCCTTCTTTTTATTTTCTGAAAAAAAAAACACGTGGTTTTCAAATTGTAAATGGATTTTTGGGTTTTAAGCTTCCTTGTGTAATAATGAGCTTCACAAACTTTGCAGTAAACTATTAAAAGATTTTAAGCATAAATTATTTCTGCATGCAATGCAGTGGCGTAGCGAGGGGGGGGTGCGAACCGCACCGAGTGACACCATTTACGGGGGTGACACCAAGGCAAAAAATAGCAAAATGTATAGAGAAAAATGATAATTCCACTTAATTAAGTGATTAATTCGAGTGTTAAATAGCCTTTTAAGAGGTGCAAATCGAAAATTGAAAGTTTGTCCCCGGGAAGGGTCGCTACGCCTCCGGGGGGGGGGGGGGGGCGACACCATTAAGTGCCGCACCGGGTGACACCCGACCTCGCTACGCCACTGATGAAATGTAATGTATTACTAATCATTGGAATAATTCATACATTAATATCAATCTTTTGATCTTGACTAGCAGTTCCCAATCTGATGTAAGACCCCCCCTCCCCACAACACCCCCACCGCCACCCCAAACCTAAAATATATAAATAGATTAACACTATTTTTACTTAAATTACTTAAAGTACAAAATGCGTTAACATTTTTGATTTAATTATACTGATACCAATCAATGAGTTCATTAGCTTAATTGGACATTTACTCCAATTGGGATACACTTCCTTTAGTTAAGTTGCTATTTAAAAATTAAAGTAAAACTTTTCAGGTGTATTTAGTGAGATATCAGATACAGTTCAGCGGTGTGAGCATGTAAATGGGGGGGGGGCCATCCAACCAACCTTTTTGAGACACTTGAGCCTCTTCTGATTGAGACATAAGACGATGACGATGATGAGCATGACGAGGGGCAGTGAGACAAGGACACAGCCGGCCGCCAGCAGGGCGTTGTCATGGTTACTGGAGGAGAGAACCACCAGGATGATGCCTGGAATAGAATGTTTACAGTAGAGCAATAGGATTTTATTGGCTAAAAAAGAAAGTTTACAGTAGAGCTATAGGATTTTATTGGCTAAAATAGAAAGTTTACAGTGGAGTAAGATAAAACCAATCCCTAAAATAGAATGTTTACAGTAGAGAAACAGGATTTTATTGGCTAAAATAGAAAGTTTATAGTAGAGCAATAGGATTTTATTGGGTAAAATAGAAAGTTTACAGTAGAGCAATAAGATTTTATTGGGTAAAATAGAAAGTTTACAGTGGAGTAAGATAAAACCAATCCCTAAAATAGAATGTTTACAGTAGAGCAACATGATTTTATTGGCTAAAATAGAAAGTTTACAGTAGAGTAAGATAAAACCAATCCCTAAAGTAGAAAGTTTACAGTAGAGCAATAAGATTTTATTGGGTAAAATAGAAAGTTTACAGTAGACTAAGATAAAACCAATCCCTAAAAAAGAAATTTTAAAGTAGAGCAACATAAAACCAATGCATAAAATAGAAAGTTTACAGCACACCAACATAAATAATGCCTAAAATAGAATGTTTATAGTACTGCTGACACAAAACTAATGCCTTAAATAAAATGTTTATAGTACAGCAAAAATGATTAAATGGCTAAAATAGAATGTTTACAGGAAAGCTACACTAAAAAACCTATGCCGAAAAAAGAAAGTATTGTAGAGCAATACAAAACTAATGCCTAAAATAGAAAGTTTACAGTACAGGAAGACATAATTAATGCCTTAAATAGAATGTTCACAGTGCAGAAAAACAAACCTTGTCTAAAATAGAATGTTTAAAGTACAGCAATGTAAAACTGATGCCCAAAATAAAATCTGTATAGTACAGAAACACAACACTAATGCTTTATTAGAATATTTACATTATAATACCATAAAATATAGTGGTTAAAATAGAAAGTTTAGAGTATAAGAACAGAAGGATAATAGCTAAAAACAATGTTTATAGGATAATGCATCAAGTATAACACCTTAGAATGTTTACAGTATATTGTAATAAGCATGATGCTTAAAATTGAATTTGACAAATAACACAAACAAATTTTGACAGTCAAAAATGTCCCACACACACAAACGTTTACAGATACCACGACAAACGTTTACAGAAAAATTACACCGCCCAGATAATGCCTAAGAAAATCAATTTCCCCCGTTTCAGCGCTATCTCGATAACGTTGTTTAAAGCCTCGGTAATTAAAACGTGTTTCCATTGATTTTATTTTAGTTAATTAACAAATTTACCGTGGGCTTGGTCGAAGAGTCGACACAAATTTCAACTTGTTGTAATGTATTTGTTTATTATACAATGGACTTCATTAAAAATGTAACAAAGCTAAACTTATGAAAATTAAACCAAGAGCTGAATTACAATTTATACCTAGGGAGCCATATTAAGATTAAATTAAATTCAATCTGCGTTTGTATAAACTATAAAATGTATATTGTGATAAAGGACTTTTATTCTAGTCGCACGCCTTGATGGTACGATGATTCTATTCGTGTAGCACGCCTAGAAGAATAGTAAGATGGGGTACAGCTGAACAGTTACAGAGAATTCTACCCTTTGAACGTTGAGACTAGAAGTAGAAAACTAATTAAATTTTATTAAATTTTTATTTTATCCTCCCAACTCGAGACAGGTACCGATTAGCGCTGAGTAGACTCAAGGTTTAATGAATATTTAAACCTGGGTATCAATGATGGATTTCCTGCATTCACATTCCCTCCCCAAAACTTGAACTCCTGTTTTATGATTGTGTGAGATCATCGCTTTAAACTATTTACTATTTAAAAAGTGATATTAATAATTATTATTATATATTTCATAGTTTAAAAAAAATTAAATATGCATTGTTGGTTTAAAAAAAAGTAAATTTCCCTTTTCGAACCTGACAATCTATTGGTCTACCTATTTCTGTGACCTCGGCATATGAAGGGATAATGTGGTCAATACTATGCCCAGCAGCCTTTACTTTACCTAACGTGAGTTGGGTGGACTCCGGGACGTTCCACTAACTTGAACCCGGATAAGAACACGAGAATTTTAGGTTAGCAGTCTAGCGCTCTACCGCGAGGCCACGCCGTCACATAGACATAGAATAATTGTTTATTAAGCCGTAAAATAATTGTTTAGACACTTTAAATATTAAATAAGACGTATAAAAATTGTTTATTAAGGCATAAATAATTATTTGCAATATGATGCAATTATATTGTTGGTAAAATACACAAGACTTGTTGGACTGGACATAAAACACTTAATGATGCAGATATACAATAATTAAATGTCTAGAAATTGGATCGTTTTATTGTTAACCATACAACAATAATTCGATAGTAACTAAACACAGTGATCTAATATACCTGTGGGGAGGGCTATGAAGAAAGAGAAGCCAACAGCCGAGGCAGCTAAACAGCCCTGTAGGCAGCACAACCCGGGCGCGGCTGTACCTGTTTGAACAAATAGACATTTCCGTTATAAGGTACCAGACTGGTGATAATCTGGTATACTGTTTCAGGCATTTCGCTCACACTAAGGTTAGCTGATGATGGACTTTTACCTGATGAAACGTTATTGGTTTCCTGATATTATGACGTCAACTGATGAGTTATGGTTTGGGAACATGTTTAGATTAATAATAGGCTTGACAACAGATACTACTATGCATATATATATATATATATATATATATATATATATATATATATATATATATATATATATATATATATATATATATATATATATATCATGTACTGTTAACACATTGCTGGTTTCGCTTTCTCATGAAGGAATGTAGATACAACTTGTGACATGTAAATGAGTATGTTGGCTATATACAAATGCTTACAGTTATGGCGTGCAATGGGAAGGGCAGGGGGACAGAACAGGTGTTGCACGTCACATAAAATGTAGTAATAATCCGAGGATTATCAACAAGTAGCACCGTGAGGGTGATTATCCTTCATGGCATTCATTTTAAAGTGTATTACACAAATGTAGTTATGATGGTAGGGGGGTGGTTGGGGATGTTAAAATTTATTTTATTAATATACAGCGATATATTAACTTACATAAAACACCAATTCCTATCAGGTTGTCAATTTTGATGCAGTGAGGTGATATGTGTTTGGGGGTGGAGGGGGGGGGGGGGGGGGGGAAGCAAACTTAGGTTGCTGTGTTTTCGCTCTAGATTTTAAATCTAGACATCCAGTCTTTGGAAGCGTAGCTCGTCGTTAACTAATTAAAATAAACTTTCCTCACCACTCACTCTCATTATCATAAACTTTCCTCTCTACTCACTCTCATGATCATAAACTTTCCTCTCTACTCACTCTCATTATCATAAACTTTCCTCTCTACTCACTCTCATTATCATAAACTTTCCTCTCTACTCACTCTCATTATCATAAACTTTCCTCTCTACTTACTCTCATTGTCATAAACTTTCCTCTCTACTCACTCTCATTATCATAAACTTTCCTCTCTACTCACTCTCATTATCATAAACTTTCCTCTCTACTCACTCTCATTGTCATAAACTTTCCTCTCTACTCACTCTCATTATCATAAACTTTCCTCTCTACTCACTCTCATTATCATAAACTTTCCTCTCTACTCACTCTCATTGTCGTCCCACTCTATCACGTGGCCGCTCGTCTCCGGAAGTGACGTTTTCGTGTCCGGCACGTGGGCCACAGTCACAGTCATATTCCCAAAAAAATCGATACCCTTTTGTTTTAATAATCGATACCCAGTTCTGAGAATCGATTCCCACTTTATCTGAGAATCGATACTCAGCTTAATTGAGAATCGATACCCTGCTGTTGACTACAAACAGTCCAGGCAAGAGCTTGAGTATTCGATTATATTCTTCACCATGACCAGCCGTTGTCCTGTTTCTGAAATAAGAGAACAAGGATATAATTACACCACGATAAAAAGCGATTAATCAAGCTGATTTTTATCAAACCAACCTGCTGAAAAAGGGCTGATTAAAACATGATCAAGGATCGTCAATAAAGCACTTCACGCATTTGAAGTTGTGTATCCTGCACCCCCCCCCCCCCCTTCAACCCCCTCCCCCACGGTCCACCCTATCGTCAGAAAATACCAAACCCTTTCTCATACATGGCATCACAAAGTTCTGCCCACATCCATAAAAATAGAATCATAACTACATTTTACGTTTTTCTGTACTGTTATAAAGTACAAAATATATTCTACGACATATTTTCTTAGCTCCCCCCCCCCCCCTTTATCTCTCGTCACATACTGTCACAAAAAGTCTAAGACCCCCTACTACCCCCTATGTGTGTGTCGTCAATATGGACCACCCCTAGGTGAAAATGAACGAACGTGCAGTGTCGTTTTTTGGATCACTGGCACCAGATGCTCGCAACACATGTTAAAATCGAGAGGCCTCTGTGTGTGTGTTTGTTATTGTATGTGTATGTGTGTGTGTTTGTGTGTATGCTTTTGTATGTGAGCGTGTGTGTGAGTATGTATGTGTGCAATTTTGTTTGTATGTTTGTGTATGTGTGCGTGTGTTTGTGCGTGTGTTTGTACGTGTGTGTGTTAGTGTTTATTTATTGCTGTATGTGTGTGTGTTTATTTGTGTTTGTGTATATATGTGTGTTTGTGTATATTTGTGTGTGTGTTTGTGTGTGCGTGTGTTTGTGTGTGTGTTTGTGTGTGTGTGTTTATGTGTGCGTGTGTTAGTGTGTGTGTGTTTATGTGTGCGTGTTTGTATCTCAATACAAAGCTGGTCGCCAATACAGTGTGTCACGTTTACAACTGGGGATAAAGGATTGAGAGAAGTTTTATGGGAGTTACAGCATGTAAATAAATATCGGTCAACGTATGGAGACGTGGAACATAGATGTCAACTAGATAACTCTTTGCTGTAGCAGCCTTAGTATCTATGTCTTGCAGTTGTTATCAAAAGAAAATAATTGTTCCTTCCTTTTTTTTCTCGCGACCAAAGAAAACTGTGTATTGTTCTTCATCTTCTTCGCCTGTTTCAATTCCCAAATACGACAAGATTTTCTGTCGTATACTATATTTTCTATTTCTTTCCATTTTTACTTTCTCGTATAAACGAAGTATAGAGAAAGTATTGTAATCGTGCAAAAAAAAAATCGAGATTTTTACAAATCTCGACGTTTTACATCTCACTGATACGGAAAAACATAATTTTGCAATCTTGTCCGTATGTCTGTGTGTCTGTCTGTGTGTCTGTCTGTGTGTCTGTCTGTCTGTCCGTGTGTAAACACGATAACTTGAGTACCGTTACAGCTAGGTTGATGAAATTTCATATATAAGTATTTTATTAAAATCGTAGATCCGTATCAACTTTTGAGCGATTTCTGATAACCTGAAGTGGTACTTTTCCTACTTTGAAATTTTCAAAAGCCTATAACTTGAGTACTATTTCAGATAGATAAATGAAATTTCACATGTAAGTAAAAGATCTAATTCTCTACCTTCTGTTAAATTTTGAGTCATTTCCGTTGAACGGAAGTAGTAATTTACGCTACTTCCGATTTCTCAAAAAACTAATGTAAATTTTTAAAGTACTAATAATATTGCGCACTATTATGCGCTTTTTTATTTAGCGTTCACTTGGAGTGCAATTCTTTTGTCTACGAGATTTTATTCTATTTTTAAAACTTTAAGTATTTAAAATGGATTAAAAATCATGTCTATAGCCCGAGTTCCCACCCCCTGTTATTTTATATAAAAATATTCGAGAAAGTTTAGGGGAGATCACTCCCGGTTTATTTCTTCTACAATAGTTTTCATGTCTCCGTTATTTTTTCCCATTGTGGATTCCGTAAAACGTGGTTATATTTTAACAGGTTTTATGGCCTTTCTATCTGTACAATCTTTTCCGAATGTCTTGTTTCACTGGGTTTTCTATGCTCTTTACCACATTGTAGGGTTAGGTACTTTGTCCAACCGAATATATATGTATAAATACTTATATATATATATATATATATATATATATATATATATATATATATATATATATGAATTATACTATTATGTGTTATAATTCTACTTTATGACCCGAGTGTTTGTATGCTTTATTAAAGTTCTACCTTATGACTCGAATGATTGTGAAAACAAATTTAAGAACCTGTAGACCTTGATACCATGTAAACATCGAACGCTGGAAGCCACAGATACCTGACACAGGAGACAGTGGAAGTAGTGACAGTAACTGCTAGGTAGTGCAGATTCCAGTGAACCGTCGGCTCTAGATGCGGGACATTTGTGGACTTAGACACACGTGACAGACTTGCGGAGAATAGCTTAGGCAGAGTTTTAGACATAGATAGACGTAGACTATGGTAGACACAACTTTAGACATAGACACACGTAGACTAGCTTAAACACAATTTTAGACATAAACACACGTAGACTAGCTTAAACACAACTTAAGACATAGACACACGTAGACTACCTTAAACACAACTTTAGACATAGACACACGTAGACTAGCTTAAACACAACTTTAGATATAAACACACGTAGACTAGCTTAAAGACAACTTTAGACATAGACACACGTAGACTAAAGTAGGCACAAGTTTACACATAGACACACGTAGACTTATCTTAATGTCTATACTATCGCGTACACGGGATTGTAAAAAACTGAATAATTTTTGAAAATGTTGGCAAATTATGTCCCATTGATCACTTTAACAACGGAAATTCGAGTTCTCTTCTTTACAGGTAACCTATGTATGTAGTGACTTACTTATGGAATTGACCTATCCCCGCGTATGACCTGTGTGACCTACTTTCTCATGGCATGATGGATCCCCCCATACGTCCAGGTCTTTAACTGTCCCATGACACGATTCTTACACTTGTGCTTCTAGTTCCAGAATTCTTTGAGAAACCTGGGCTTAGTTTGGTTTCTTTTGTAGTGTCTTGTCTTCATGTATATCACGATACTTTGTCATCAAATTAAGGTTATCGTATCAATCTTAAAGTTTAAGAAAATCGGCCTTGAACTTGTACATTTGGTCTCAGATATTTAGCAAGCAGAACAGTGGGTAGATTGGGGCTAGTGAATTAAAAGGGCAGGAAGCTCTAGACATGGGAGATTACCTATGTGACTTGTACATTCAAGGGCAGTAAGCTCTAGACTTGTGCGACGAGTAAATACAAGGGGAGTTAACTCTCAATATGGGAGATTACCTATGGGACTTGTACATTCAAGGACGGCAAAAAACTATCAACATTGTGAAGGATTATTTACGCTTAGATATTAGACATGTTTGATTGTAAAGTCACGATTTAAAAGGCTATACCTGACATCTTTACACAGGTTTTAAAAATGCCAGAGAATAGCGAATATAAACATGTACAGGACTTCTTGTTTACAACATAATACTGGCACAAATGTGTCGAAACTTGTAGGGGAACAGGGTTGGAGTAAAACAGAATTTGAGATTTTTTTGTCAGAAATTAATAAAATTATATGCATGAATAAATATATATTAAAAATACCAAACGTAATTACAAAATCTACTTCTAAATTCATCAAACTAGTTTGGATGTTAAGCTGATTTGCGATCCATTGGCTCCTTTTTTTTGTTTCTCACTCATATCCGAACACAGGACCACGGCATGATATATTAAACAGCTAACATTAAAACCCTTATTCAAATTGCTGGATACATGGACTAAATAGACAAATACGCGTTGGTTGAGTAGCTGACAAAATGAGAAGTTATAGATTTCAGATATAACAAGCTCAGCTTTGTAAATGCCCGGTTGTTTTTGCCATTGACATGCCCATTAGAGTTTCTTCCAGGCATCTCTTCGGGGAAGTTTACCCCTCCCAAGCGAACGAAATGGAATTTATATAGAAAATATATATATTTTATCAGTGTCTGCCCCCCCCCCCCCCCCCCCCCCCCCCCCGAAGAAAAAAGTCTGGAAGAAACACTGATGCC